ACCTATTTATTGTCGTTTGCCTCATATTGGGAAAATTATTAAAACATGCACGATATGCAGTTTTTTTATTAGAAAGCTATGGAATTTTGACAGTTTTTGGTCCAAGTTTGTATTATTGTTGTGATTAGTGACATTTGACGACGGGTGTAAGTCATTGAACATCATGGCGGATTATTCCAACGCCGTTATTTGAAATTTATTTTGAACTGATGGCGAATGTAATAAACTTTTGGACAGGACGTGTCGAACACTTAATGAGAGATGCCTAACAAATCTAACGCCGAACATAAGGAAATATTTCAAAAAATTGACAAAGATTTTCTTAGTTCTGGACATATCGAGATCTTTTGGTCTCGATATGTCAACCGTAGATTTCCGGTCATCAGTGATGAAGACAACGAAATAAATATTTTATCGTATTTGATTGCATTTCCAAATGCAATTTAATAACAAATTTATTTTATAAATTTATATTTTTATCCAAATCTAATTTTTGTCATTAATTTTTTGTTTTAATTATTTCATTTATTTGATCTTCTGTTAATTATTTTTGGTAAGTAAAAACTAGTAAATTAAAAGATTATCAATCGTAGCTAATAGTGGAAACTATAATAGAAATAAATTAAATGAAAGACTATCAAAATGTCATGGCCTTCTAATAAAAATACAAACGGTTTCCTGTATTTCCTGCATGTTTTAATAAATTTCTCAATATGAGAGAAACTACAATAAATAGGTATAGGAGAATGTTTATAGATAAATTGTAGAGAATTAAATTCACTTTCGGGCAGGCTAATAAAATATGGGGCGTTCCATATAAAATTTTCGACTTTCTTGTGGTTGAATATGGAGAAAGGGTAACACAATTTTTGTGACCACCCTCCTGTATAAGATACTCTGATACAATAAATGACAATCTATTTGACAGTATCTAGAGAGTAATACACGTTTCTCACGTGTACAGGTGTCCCAATTTCGATGTCCGCATAGGCTAACTCCGAAACTAAAAGAGATAGAAAAAAAGTAGCTTACATGTCATGATCTCGTTTTTCGAGAAAATGCTAATGCCGAAAATTCCGCACAGCTATCGTCTTTTGTTTTCGCCCTATCTGCAAAAACGACAATCGCGAATATCTCACTTATTATCAAAGATGGAGTATTATAAATAAAACATTATATGGGCAACTTTTTACGAAGAATTCAGTGGCGTAGGTAGAATTTTTTTCCCATCATTTATTTTCGAGATTTTAGACGTAACTTTATTTTTTTAAATGGAAACCATAGTTGGCTATGACTTAAAATAATTTGGTATTTTCTTTTGATAACAAATATGTATAGTTTGTGGGGTATATTTCTTATAGTTATTGAATAATTAACAAAAATTCATTTTGTTCTATCTAAAACTAATGTATGTATTTAAAAGTACGTTACTACGTTAATATTACTATGGTGATAACCATACATACCACACATACTTTGATGAAACATAATGTATCAAATAATTGCCAAATCTTGTATTTAAAAATTCGACAACAACTCTGGCATTATATGCTGGTACGATGCACAAGCATGTTAAGTGTCAAAGTATAACAAAACTGAATAAAACTTTACAATGAATTTCGAAAATTATAAAAAATGTAACATGATGGAATGCTATATGTTATCAGATAAGTATGCGACGTTAGCCGCGGAATTTTATTTCACAAGATATCCAGAAAGAAGACAACCGCACGTAAGAACCTTTAGCCGGTTAGCAGAAAATTTAATAGATATTTGGTCCTTCCCCAAACCACATACAAAAACCAACCAAAATGACCTGCAAGAGAAATTCCAACAAGACGTCTGACCCAAAAGCCGCTGCTCCCGAATATGAAAGAAAAATAAGTATAAACCACACAAAGCGGGGCTAACTCATTATTTACGTGCCGGAGATGTCAATCGAGGATTAGAATTTTGTAGATGATATTTAAAAAAATTAAATAATCTGCTGTTTGTTCAAAATGTTATCTGGACCGATGAAGTCTCTGAGTGTTCAAAGAAGATTGGGGTTCAATGTATGGTGTGCCCTTTTAGATAATAGAATGTTGGCATATAGTATTTACCATAAAAACTTAAACACAAGTAATACCTCAATATATCAAGGCAGCACATTGTGCTTTTGGTCGACAATTTGCCATTAAATAAGTCTCAAATGATATATTTTCAATATGACAGAGCACCAGCACTACAAACTTTGGCCCTTAAGTACAAATTTTTCGATTTTGAGAAAACGGCAAAATAGTATATTGTTTTATATGGAAGAGAAGCAGTGCTTTTTATGGCGTGGTCTGTCGCTTAGCGACGAACGCAGTGAGTCGCTAATGACAGATGAGCCGTTAAAATTGTGGCGTGTCCGACAGTTTGCCGGACGAACGAAGTGAGTCCGGCAATGACGGACCAGCCACAAACGAATCTGCTTCTCTTCCGAATAAAACATAGTATTTTTTCTTCAAACGTTGCAAATAATACGGCGCTAAAGTGAAATGTTCTTCAACGTTATGGCGCTAAAGTGAAATTTACTTTAGCGCCATAACGCTGAAGTACTTTTTTGCTATGTTGATCTTAGCAACCGTCGTTATGCAACAATGACTTACTTCTACCGCGAGTAAACACGACAACAAAGTTGTCATTTAATGACGTTTGAAGAAAAAATAATTTTTATCGACGTTATTGAATTGTAAATCATGTACAGCAGCTGTACTTTTATAATTCTTAACACTCTCAGGTAGATTTAACAATAAAACACTTTCCTCATCATAAACATCTTTTAATCGGTTCCAATTATTAATAAAAGGACTTTCAACAACTTGAACGTACATTGTAGCATTATGTGGAATAACAATACAATCTTTTTCTAATAAATCATTGTGAGCATTTTTGAAGGTACCAAAAGCACCCTCTCCTATTAATTCAGTATCAAATACTTCAGTAACCAAAATATTCGCCTTAAAATCCATATCAACCCCAATTTTAATATCGGTGGATCGTTTTGGAATAACTTTTATTTTGCCACTGAACCCATTCTCATCAATTACCTTCTTAGCACACTCCCCCATTGGGTTAAAAGCTTCACAAGCAACAACACTATCGGCTCCATGTCTTACAGCCATCATAGATAACAAACCTGTTCCCGTTCCTATATCTAAAAC